GTTGGCAATGATGAAGTGTAAAATGTAACAATTATTACTAACCTCTTGTTGCTGTATGGCCAGCAAATCCACCACACTTTCTTGCAGCTGGAACGTCACAGCACAGAGCCACTAATGCCACTCGAACCTTTACAATGTCAAAAGAGGATTCTTTGAACACCACACCATCCCATAAATCTGATAACGCATTTACAAATGGCTGTAGAAATGAATTAATGTTTCCTTTAGGTTCTGAAGGTCCAGGGATAATGCCAACTACAACAACATTTTCTATCTTAAAACGTTCTTCGCGAGGAAGGTTCATAAAAACTGCATATATTACGCCACAGCTATAATTAGTGTGCTTATAAGGCTGAAACCAGTCTACATTGATCATGATACCCAAATTTCCAAATGTTGAAAAGAATGGTTTTCCATCCACATCCATAAATTTTTTCCACAGATTTCCATCAAACACATCATCCATAATACCATCTTCCTTAACACCTTTAGATTTCCATTCTTCGCAWTTTGATAGGAAGCCATTCTTTGATATCAATGTTTGAAGTGAAGAAATCAAAGGTTTGTAGCAAAATATCCTTTTTGRACGGAGAAAGAGTGAGCCAGTTTTAGAACGTACTTTCTTCATTAAAAATGCACCACATTCTGTCCGTCTTCTTCTATGGGGATGGTTGGGAAATTTGACATGTGAACATTTCTTTGACATAATTATTCCATTACTCTTCTTGATGGTACATTCTTCAACTTTGTATTTTGTCATGCACTTTGGGCAAACAACAAACGTCTGGAACTCATCCTTGTTAATTTTGAGCTTTTCCTTTGCCATATACAATGTATCTGGAAGGGTTCTTGCAAAGTTTATMATAGATTCAATTCTCAAAAGTCCACCAATCAAATTCAAGAACATCTTGAAAAACTTAAATAGAACTGCAATTGCACTGTCTGACACTTTGTACATTGATTGCCATAACAGCAGAAACATGATGAGAATTTTACATTCTGAAGAAACAAATGAACCGGGATTGCCTGTAATTTCCTCAGTAGAATCAAGGTTTTCTTCATCACAAATGAGCTCTTCTTCCTCTTCTTCTTGAGTATAGTCTTTTGGGTTACACTAAAAAAAAGAAACTTCATGTTAACTATTTTTGTATTCTGGTAAAAAACTACAAGCTTGTATCAAAGAGAGAAATTTTGTGAAGAAATAAACTCTAAGCTCATTATCTTTAATAATAATAATAATAATAATAATAATAAAAATTAAAGTAAGAAGAAGAAGAACAAATAATATATAAAAAACTACAACATAAATATATATATAAATATACATTCTGAATTATAGACATTAGATATTATTAGCAAAGGTTAAATAACATCTAATATCCATAATTCAGAATGTCAATTTCAAACTTTGCATTTGTAAGAATGAAAGATCTAGCTAAGTTAAAATATATACATGTAAATTGATCATATGTGGAAGTGGCTGATCCCATTAAAGAGTGCTCAATACACATAAAGTGTAGAGCTAGTTATATATATGATATCAAAGAGGCAAGATTTTGCTGTAATTCCGAGTTTCGTGCTACGCTCTCATCAGACAGTTATATACATGTAAATTGACAAAGAAAAAAATTTAGCAGGTCCTAATAATAATAATAATGATAGATACAATACTCTATTTTTGAATTCAAAGCGAATAGCAACTGCTGTTTTATTTGACAGTATATTCTCTTATGCAAAGACCTTACCAAAGACAAAAGAAAGCACAAGAAAATGTTGTTAGTACAATAGTGTTAACAATTCACATTTTCCCCGGGTTGAGGCTAACCCTGTATTCCCAGAAGGCTTATACCTTAGGTCTTATGGGAATGCAGGGTTAGTCTCAACTAAAAAATCCAAATTTTCAGGGCTATCATAACAATGGCATTTTATCATGCTTTCTTTTGTGTAAGGTAAGGTCTTTGCGTAAGAGAATCTGCTKTSAAATAAAACAGCGGTTTTTCTCTATGAATAGAGTATTGCATAATGAGAACAAGGAATATGAATAAATTTTATAGCATACTCATACTTAGGGAGGTGAAACATAGTAAAAAGCTAAAAAATATAGACTTGAAAAATATATAGACATTCCTTCCTTAGTAATAGTTTTCAAGTATTTTAGCTAAGTTTCACAAATTTTGTTGATGTTTATTTTTCTGTTTTTTCTTTCTTTTAGTGCTGGCTAGGGCTTTTTAATACTCACATCATTGGAATCTGAAGCATTTCCGGTGGTACTCTCTTCTCCATCATCTGTATCACTACTGTAAAATTCTCGACTTTCCTCTTGTTGGGACTCTTCAATCTCTGAATCTTCTTCTTCTATTGAATTACTTTCTTCCTGTTCAGTTTCTTCGAATTCTTTCCTTGAAGATACAGTTCCAGAGACTACTGATTCTGATTGAGGTGCTTGACGTTTGTGTTCATAGTAAGTTGGTCTAGCGACAAGTTTCTGGCAATGATCACAAAATATGTAGATGTCTGACTTATCGCTTGTTGACGAGGAATTCGTTGACATACGACACGGCAGATGAGAGTAATACGCTGTCTTCCCAAAATTTTTCTCACAACTTCCACATACTTTTCTCGAAGACATGTTTGTMAAATACTACATTAAAAACAACACACTGGCGCGCAAACTGGCGTGAGATATACTTCCCAGCATCCTTATCGTCTATCGATAGATTTCCGTAAAGCCCTCGGGACACTTCCCAGCATCCATTTCGTGTATTGATTGGTTTCCTCGAGACAATCAAGAGCCAATCGGAAGCAAAGCGTTTTTAAGTCGGTCAGTCGGTCGTCAGTCGGTGGTTTATCGTCATCTTCACGTGTTCACGTTTAAACAGTACACCGACCGTTGACCTGAAGTTGACATTCGCTGTTCGCACTGAGGTTTTAACGGTTGCTCTKATCTCTTATTTGAATTCTTGTAGTTTTGACTTAAAAGATACCTCTMAAGGTTTGAAGCTCAATTATTGAAAAAGTTCAATGTCTCGTCTAAAGCATTCCAACACTGATAGGCCAGAAAGCATAGATCTTTCGCTTATAATCGTTCAGTTCGTTGCCATTTCCTTTGAGTTAGAATTCTTCCTTTGATATGGCGTCCATGAGACCAGACTCCTTTTTTAGAGGACGTACTGCGACTAGCACTCCTCTACAGCGCTCTAGCGTTGGGAGCAGTGGTCAGGAGGAGACTGTTGTTGTCACTTCGAGAGAAGTGAACTCTTTGATGGACTCAAATGCCAGCATTTTRAACAAGATCAAAGAGCAAGCGAAGGTGCTAGATGCGGTAACCAAAACGCAGAAAGAAATCTTGAAGGTCATAGCAGAGATCAACGAAAAAATARACGAGTTTGAACCGCCAGAACATGAAGCAGATCAGGACGATAAACTGCCGCCATTGCTCTCGGTAAGTTCTCTGGATTGGCGTGCAACTAATCTATGTTAGCAAGTTTACCATTCGCTAAGTTGAGTAAGCTTAATGCCTAGCAAATCATAGTTATTTTTAACAAGAAATTTAACGGGAAATGTATGTGCATTTTCTTGTGTTTACGATCATCTGMTACAAAATGCAGAGAACACTCTACTCTATTAAACTTGTGAGACGTGTGCGCGCTCGTGTGTTASTCTCAGCTTTGAAATTTGATAGCTTACCTAGCTCAAAGCTGAGAGTAACACAAGGGCACACGTGTTTCACAAGTCAGAATAGGATGTTATCTGCATTTTGTAGCAGATGATCCTTAAACACAAGAACATTTTATGCACAAGCATGATATGCTGACACATGTGATGCTCTTTTATTTTAGAGCCAAGTACACTTGGTATACAGCCAATTGACAGAAAATGAAGCTTTCAAGCCACAAGAAAGGTGACTTAAGCTTAGATAAAAGACCATATATTTTCATGTTTGTGATACTTCAGGTTCTCTGTATCATGAGTCTTTTATTCTTTTATACTGTGAACCTCTAATTGTTTTAGGTTGATGTTTGATAAGTTAGTGATGTTGGCCTRACAAAATTTTTGGAAAGTCTTGAACTAATGAATGACAATTTTCTGATTATAGTTTGATCYCTGCTCATAATGCCTCAGTACGCCAGTTCTTGGAGGAGCAGATARGTGCTAAGGAAGGAGGATTCTCAAAAAGACAAATTAAAAGTAAGAATTATAGAATTGTAAGATTTCATTGTCATGGTGAGAACACATGTAATTTTATTTAGTTTCAAACACTTTAGAAAACAGGGTTTTTTTGAAGATACATATTTGCTGCGAACGAAGTAAATTTTAATCTTTCACTATTCAGTGTTGCTTACAGTGTTTATATTTTGTAACATCAACAGAAGCTGTCTCAAGATATTATGAGACTAAAAGAAAACAGTATTTACAAGGCCTACCGCGAAACCAAGAGCGCACAGAAAGARCTCTTGAGGTCAACAAACTCAGATCACGAAGAAAAAGGGTAAGTAAATCATTGGCGAATGTGAATATTGCTGTCAAGGTACCTGATAAGTGCTTTCATCCTCAATAGTTGATTTTAAATGAAGGAAAGGATATGATATGAAAATGAATTTGTAATACAATGTAGTTATTGATTTGTCCTACTTTAGCTATATAATTCAAGAGTCAAAGTGGCAGATGGAGAAGATGCAGAAAGCATCAAGTCACTGACATATGAGTATGTCAGTGACGAGGAAGATGGTGAGGRCGATGATGAAGGGAAGTGGGTTGTGAGGCCTCCAGCATGGCGATCACGAGAGGCATCAGATCTCATGCAGAGGCTTCAGGCCAAGGTYGATAGATTAAACAAAAGACCGAAAGTGTTCAGAGTCCGGGGAGACAACTCTGATAGAGGAAGACCAAGTGCCACAACAACTTGGGCTGTTAGACGTGTTGCATCAACACCAACAAAGTCACCAGGAACATCACGGTAAATAATTTTATTTATTTTTTTATTTAGTGTACTGGGCATTTTGTTAAGGTTGTTAGAAGGGAGAGAAATTTACAAAATGAATWGTAGTTTTACACACTGTAAACTTTGTTTTTCTTTAATCTTAATTTTAGAAATGCATCAACACCAACAAGTTCACAAGTACCATCAAGGTATCTAAAGCAGCCATAGGCGTTAAGTATACTGTGGGTGGTTAAAAATTAGGTGTTACAGGGGAGTTTGAGAAATACWTTTTTTTTAATTTATCTGGACCATCAAAGTAAAACATTCATGAATAAGTATTTTAGCATCCTGGCTGTTTGGTTGTAGAGAGGAATATTTGCAAGGTATCTCCTTACAAAGCCTTTAACGTCATATAAATTTTGCATTCTAGAAATGCTTCCACAAGATCACCAGGCCAATCAAGGTACAGTAAAAACATTTCCAGCCATTATGTTACTTGATGTCTTTTTAGGTTGTAGGAAGAGAGATTTACAGCATAAAAATATAATAAGAATAAAATATCATTTGTAAGRGAAAATTRAAGTCATATGCAAATCAGGACAAATCTCKTGCTCATATAAAGATGCGGTCACAGCAATRATTTTCCATTGTGTTTACCTTATGAATTATTAATGAATTTGATAAACAKGCATCAAAATCATCAATGGTATGCATTTATATAAGTAATATATTATTTGATATACTATTTSTAGGTGTTTGGTTATAAGCCTAATAGAGATTAAACCCTTAACTTTGTTTGAAATCTTATCATTCAGGCAAGCATCACGTCGATCAAGATCACCAGCAGTAACATCAAGGTATTTAAAGCAGTCACAAGCAATTTAATATACTGGGTATTTGGTCAGGCTAATAGAGAGAAAGATTTCCCTAATGACC